GAGTCCTTAACTTATATTGATAATAAATGCTTCTAGTTGGGTCCAAGATAAGAAAGAGGAAGCAGATTCATGGTATTTGCATGTGGAGTCCCTCTACAGGAAGCTTCTGATTTTAGAAGACGTCTGTTAAAATGGACTTTCCCTGGGCCGGCCCGGTGGCGCACTGGATAGTGCGCCGCTTGAGAAGCGCGGCGGCGCTCCCGCCCGAGGGTTCGGATCCCACATACAGACCGGTTCCCGCTCACTGGCTGAGCGAGGCGCGGGGGCGACCCCGAGGGTTGCAATACCGTTGCCGGTCCCCGGTCCGGTACGGGGGCAACACTGAGGGTTGCGATCTGTTGCCGGACATGGAAAAAAAAAAAAAAAAAAAAAAAAAAAAAAAAAAAAAAAGGACTTTCCCTGATAATGTATAATCATCAGTCCAGTAAATTTCTGTTTTGGTGATATTGCATTGACAAGCTTTGTTATGGTGGTGAGGGTAGCAATGTGAGACATTCCAAGTCCAGACAGGAACCTTGGGAAATGGGATGAATGGAGATCTCTTGTGAACTTTGGGGACCAGGGAGAAAGTCCCCCTAGGACTTGATTTATGTGGATTTTTGGGATACAATTTTATAGACTTGATCCTTTGTTTTATTCCGAAGGGTGTATTCTTTCTGACCAAATTAATTCCTGACTTTTCTTCTGAGTTCCCAACAAAGGGTTATTTCATAATGAAAGAACTACTAAATATATAATAAACTGTGGCTACTGATGCATTTTAAGAGATAACCACCCTCGGGGCTAATGACCCATGACTATCTCTAGGGTTGAGGTTAGGCAATTCCTAGTAAATTCAATGTTCTTCTTCCCCATCCTGACATTTTAAAATCAGGAAATTAGGTCCAAAATGAACTCCAAGGTGGCAAAAAGGGAAAGAAGTAACAAAATAAACACCAAAGTGGGAGTTTTTGGATTTGGAGATTGTGGAGGTTTGTGGACTGATTGCCTTCTGTAGCTGTCAGAGTTCTTAGTTTCAACAAACAGAAACCAACTTTGAGTAACATAAGCCAACAGGAATTGATAAAACTCATTGGGTGGTTCACACAATCTTCAAGAGGGCCAGAAAACCATGTTTGTGGGCTACAGAGCTAGAAACAGTGCTCCACATCAGGCCACAATGCTGGTCCATGAATACTCACTGCCTTGGGAGACTGGATACCAGTCGATGCCTCTGAAAATAGGTGCAGCCCATTTTCACACTCACACCAGCCTGAAGTCCACACAGTTGGTTTCCTTACATTCCTGGCTTCTGACTTGAAATCTGGGGTGGGTGCAACTGATTGGTGCAACTTAAGTCATGTGTTTGTCATAGTTGTAAAGAAAAGCTGGGAAAGCAAGTATTAAGCATTTTCGGTTTCTGGAGTGGAAGATGGGCTGTCTGATAAAGTGAGGGGTTCTTCAAATATAGAAAACATGGACAAAAAATGAAAAATGTCCCTAACAGTGTACCTTTTGAACTGCCCCCAAATCAACGCATATCCTTCTTGGTGTAAGAATGTCTTTTAAACATGCTTTCACAAGTTTGATTACCATCTGCTATAGACTTCCAATGTCTCATCCTTTAAATTAATTGGAATTTTGCTGCCCAGAGATCTATCCAGACTATATAACCAGTCCCAGATTTCCCTCTTTCTTCCTCTTCCCCGACATTTCCCTGAGGGTCCCCCGATGACAGCTACTTCTCAGATATCAATTTTCTCATCAATCAGTGTTCTTAAAGATGTAAGCAACAGAAACTAAATTTGGCAAATGTAAGCAGGAAAGGAATTTACTATAGAATACTGGATAGTTCATAAAAATCTCCAGGAGGGAAACAAACTCATGCCACTGAACTGGAACTGTAAAGACTTCACTACCACAGCCACTGGACACAGACTGACCATGCAGCTAACACTGCCAACCTCTCTAAGCTGGACTCTGAATACTGCCATTGAAATCACTGCCACACTGCCCACCCTCATCAGCGGGGGTCAGCTCAGTCCTGGCTTCTTTATCAGTGAGCTGGTTGCAAAAGAGGCTGGAAAGTGATTGCCTGGCATTTTCAACTTCTATAGCGGGAAGCAGATTGTTTAATAAGGTGAGGAACTCTCCAAACAAAAAGGGAATTCATATGTAGAATGGCCAAAAAAGACTGTTTAATATCCATCTATGTGAACTTCAAGACCTCTTCTGTATCCTATTGCTTCCCTCAGTTACTACTGTCTCTCCACTCAGAAGCCAGCCCCCAGTTCAGAGTTGTTGATCTGCAATACTCTAAGCAAGGCTTTTGAATGATGTCACTTAAGCTAACGTTGATATCAGATTGGGAGGAACTGTGATATTTGGAAAAGAGTGCTGGAATGGAAGTCAGGAGATTAAAATTCTCAATGTATCACACATTAGCTGTAAGAATTAATACAATCTATTTAAATTACTTGGGCCTCAGAAGTAATTCACAGAAGAGATCTGTACACACATTCTGCTCTTTCATATTAAACTACTAAACTGGGGGGCCGGGGGCCAGCCCCGTGGCGCACTCGGGAGAGTGCGGCACTGGGAGCGCAGTGACACTCCCGCCGTGGGTTCGGATCCTATATAGGAATGGCCGGTGCGCTCACTGGCTGAGTGCGGTGCGGGCGACACCACACCAAGGGTTGTGATCCCCTTACCAGTCACGAAAAAGCCAAAAAAAAAAAAAAAAAAAAAAAGAAAAGGGTAAGGGCAAGAAATTAAATTCTGAAGTATAAGTGTAGGTCAACCGTGCCAAAACAGAACTCTTCTTTAGTTTAGAATGGGGACCCGGAAGAGGGTAAGGAAATGCGCAGCAGGCAAGGAAGTGGGCACTGTGGTAGGATAGCAGGGAGCAGGCGATGGAGAGCCAGCAGCAGGTGATAAAATGAACTCCTGGCTGCTTAACAGTGAAGGAAAAGAGCTGATTCCAGTTTCTTTTTTTCCTTTAAAGAATGATACAATTTAATCTCATTCTCACTTGAATAAAAAAGACAAGAGCTGGAATAAGAATTATTTCCTTTAGTAAGGAAGGTCACCATATGCTCTGGGGGAGGGAATAAAGCCCTCTTTGCTTTTCAGCTGCAGGGGGAGGGTGTTCCTACAGATTCAAAAAGATTTGTTTTTCCAGGCTAAGAGACTTTGTTCCTATTTTTCAGAATGGTTCAATATTAGGAAGTCTCTGAATGGTGATTAGTACATTTATACACTAAAGGAGAAAAATATGTATCTCAAAAAAATGGTGAAAAGGTATATAATATCCAATATCCATTCCAAAGAGCAGAATGGAAGATAAAATATTTGACTTTTCAACTGCAGTCAGTTAGACTTACTGCCTCTATTTATTTATTTTAAAAACATTTGAGAGCATATGATATTACAGACCTTGTTTCAGGCCATGTGGAAGACAAAACCAGAACATTTGGTTTATTCTTGAAAGGCTTGTAATCTCTAAAGGTGAAAAAAACACCCACAAGGTAACTACAGTAAAAAGGAATATGCGACAAGAGTCATCAGACTGGGTTATAGTACTTCGTTCTTCATTATTATAGCACTTCTCACATTGTTCTGAAATTATTTGTCCACTTGGCTGTTTTATTAAACTGTGAACTAAGAGCAAGGATCGTACCTTATTCCTCTTTGTAACCTATGGATCTAGACTAGTGGGCAACCTATAGGAGGGGCTCAGTAACTGTTTACGGAATAAGTGAAACAGACAGTGGATGAATCAATGAAGAAAATAGCTAAACAACTTAGCAAGCAGAGATCAGGTCTGGCTGGATGGCCAGTTACTTCACCTTTGAAGTAACTGAAGTTGGACCTTAACAGATTTAGAGGTGAGAGTTTGACAAAGGGAATGTGGGCAGCAGAAGGTAGGAAGTAGGGAAAAGAAATACCTGTGCAGAGTTGAGAGAGCTCAGAAGTCTAGTTTTAATATAATATCCTATTAAATATAGAAATTTCATTTATAATGATGCTGATGGGTAAACACCTCATAAAGCACCCTATTCTGTTTCTGAGCTAGTCTGGTTTGGACAATCTGCTCTAGCACTAGTTTTGATTCCTCTATATATGAGTTGATTTCAAAATATTTATTTGAAGATCTATTACATGAAATCACTTTGATTTTGGGGAAGTTGATTTTTTTCTATGACAGGTATCTTTCCCAGCATTTGCTGTTTATATGATTTAACAAAATTAAATACCCAGGTTTTAGTATGGATCACAACACCTGGTAAACTAATTGGGGAAAATACACATAACATAAAACTTATCATCTTAACCATTTTTTTTTCCTTTTTGTCTTTTTTCGTGTCCGGCAACGGATCGCAACCCTCAGTGTCGCGCCCGTACCAGACCGGGACCGGCAATGGGATCGCAACCCTCGGCATCGCACCCGCACCTCGCTCAGCCAGTGAGCGGGAACCGGTCTGTATGTGGGATCCGAACCCTCGGCGGGAGCGCCGCCGCACTCCCAAGCGGCGCACTGTAGCAGTGCGCCACCGGGCCGACCCCATCATAACCATTTTTAAGTGCACAGTTCAGTGGCATTAACTGTGGTCTCACTGTTGTGCTGCTATCACCACCATCCATCTACAGAACTGTTTTTACACTTAAGATTTTTAAAACTCAGGGCCGGCCCAGTGGTGCACTGCTACAGTGCGCCGCTTAGGAGCGCGGCAGCGCTCCCATTAAGATTTTTAAAACTCAGGGCCGGCCCAGTGGTGCACTGCTACAGTGCGCCGCTTAGGAGTGCGGCAGCGCTCCCACCGAGGGTTCGGATCCCATATACAGACTGGCCGCTCACTGGCTGAGCGAGGTGCGGGAGCGATGCCGAGGGTTGCGATCCCATTGCCGGTCCCGGTCTGGTACGGGCGCGACACTGAGGGTTGCGATCCGATGCCGGTCATGAAAAAAGACAAAAAAAAAAAAGATTTTTAAAATTTAAAAATATAAAACATTACTGTAAATACAAAAAAGTCACAAACATTTTTAATGAAGCCATTTACATTTCAAACATGTGACAAGATTCATACTGGAACTTAAAATTAGTTTATTAACTAAACTTTTGGGCTTGGTATTTAATAGTGATTGCACAGACAACTGGCCTCAAGTCAAAATCTAAGATCAGTGTGAAAATTTTGTACATTTTCCCCTTAAAGAGAAAAAATTCAAAGTACTAAAAGCTCAATTTTATAAACAGAAAAGAGAATATTTCTGATAGTATAAGCATAAGCAACTAGACACTCTCCTCACTGGTTAAATCCTATGGGAAGTAACACAGGTGGTGAAGGATCAAACTTTAGCCTACTCCATCCTCACCCAACAGTGCTTGTGTCTTGCCTTCAGGAACTGCCTTTCCCAGAAGCAATGGTTTCATTTCCAATGGTGATTCTATTTAATGGGCAAGGTAAGAAGCAGCAGTGTTTTCCCAATCTCCTGCAGGACTTACCTAACTGAAAAGCAGTGCAAGGCTAGAATCAGAAGCCAGAGTTTCAGGATCCAAGCCCAATTTTATTTCTAGGAGAAGTATTTCCCTAAACTTATAATCTACACTTCTATAAAATGGCTTCTTTAGTTCAGATTCTTAATCAGAACTTCTTTTTCTCAAATGCTGCCTCTTGCAGTTGATTTGGTTTTGCAATAGATGGCTTTGAAGCTATTTCTGGAGCAGGTGTCGAAGCTTGGGAAACAGTTTCAATGCATTCTGTGTGGTCACCTCTATAACTTCCTCCACTGAGATCCCTTTCACCTGGGCGATATATTCTGCTGAAATGGAAATGTTCCGGGGCTCATTCCGTACCTGAAACAGAACAAAGCAGACACTAAATCAAACGTGACACTCAAGGGAAGCGCAGATCCTAGGAGACTATAGATAAAAAAAGATAAAATGAGTTGATAACAACAACTGATGAGGGCTGGCCAGTTAGCTCACTTGGTTAGAGTGTGGTGCTGATAACACCAAGGTCGAGGCTTTGGATCCCCATGGTGGCCAGCCACCAAAAAAAATTATAAACAACTGATTAGCTCCTTTTTTTTTTAATGGGGGGATGAGGACTGGGAGGAAGGTATGGCTGCAACATTGATTGTAAGTCTATGCTGTTCCTGAAAAGAACCCCAGTGTATTAATAACTGAGGTCCCAAGCTCCTACGATATGAAGAAGCAGTCTGTAAACGGTGAACCCTTGGTGGCCTGCCTGACTGATGGATTAATTGTTCTTTGGTTTGATGCTTAAGCGGGTGCTTTAATGGTCACTGCTGTTCTGCTTGGCCCCTCAGGTCATAGGCTGTATGCCAGTTTGATTCAAGAAACGCCATCATGTGTTGGAAAGACTAAATAGATTATGCCCTGGTATCTCACTGCTTCTAAGATGCATTTCCACCCCTATTTTAACATCTCTAAAATTGATACGTATATTACTTATATCCAATGGCATGTCATAGTATAATTGGAAGTGTTTTTTCTTCCTTAATGGTCATGAAACTGATTCATTTACAATCAGTAGCATTTAGATTGAAGAAATAAATTGTTATTGTTATTATTGATAAGTATCTACTCAGGATGATAATGTTCAGAGGAATAAAATTACTGTTAGGTTTAAAAAAAAAAGAAATCATTAGTAAAGTAAAACAATGAAAAATGTGCACAAAGATTTACATTCAAGGATATTCATCATATTATTTATAATACAATCTAAATGGCCAATATCAAGTTAAATATATTGTGGTGCATTCACACACTGGTATATTATGTAGTTATTAGACATGACGAGGAAAAGTATATTTATTAACATATACAGAAGTTCACCACATAAAAGCAAGTTATGAAAATGATGTGTTCAGGCTAATCTTATTTTTATGAAATATATATGTATGTACAGATATGGATATAAAAAGTGTAGAAGAACATCAGAACTGACATTTGTTTACTTCTTTTTGTAGGCAAGGTTTTATTCTAAGCTTTTCATGGAATTTCTCATTTAATCCTCAAAATAACTATATACGAATTCCTTATTATTAGCATCCCTTCTTTATAGATAAGATGGGATCCTGAATAGCTAGTAAGTAAGCTACTAGCCTATATAGATAACCTTTGGGTGGTAGAAGGTTTTATTTTCTTGTCTATGATTTTCTGTGTTTTCTTACTTTCTAGAACAAACGTATTTTACTTAACAAAAAGCAATCTGGCTAAAAAATTCATTTATTCAATAAGTATTTATTGAGTACCACTTTGTACAAGGAACTATGCCAGAAGATTTTTGTCAAATAAACTAAATACAAATATAAAACTGAGATTCATTGCTAGGTCCTTTTCCTTCCATTTTCACATGAATCAGGAGGGTAATTCCGTACCATTCTGTCCTACACTCAAACAGAAAATACTGGAGTTGTGATCCTCTACTTTCTCATTCCTTTGTCTTTTACGTTCTTAGAAAAGCTGATTTATAAAAATGTATAATTAATTGGATATTCATTAGCAAAATTCACATTGCAATCACAAATAATAATGGTTTGTTAATAATTGCATAATAATTGCTGTGATCTCAAACCTCTGAATCTCAAGTGTCAGTTCTCTGAATTTTGCACACCTGGAGACACAGATCTGACGGGCAGTCATAAGCACTTATTAAACTACACATTAGAAGGTGATTGTAATAGGTACTGTCTAGAGCAAAGAAAGCAGATACCATGACTTTCTTTCTGAAAATAATAATTTAAGATAGCAATATTAAAGAGAATGAAATTGAAAATATGATTATTTGTGGCCTACAGTAAAAAATGAGATACTACAGCAAAGATCACATGTATAAATCCATGACTATGTCAATACTTGAATTGGAAGAAATAGAACCTCATTAAAATATGCTAATTAAAAGAAGAAAAATGAACATTTACTGAGCACCTTATTACATATCAGACACTGTTAGGAACTTTCACATACATTACTTCATGCAATCCTCACCAGAATCTTTTAAAGTATTTTATTATTTTACCCAGATTTTATAAATGAAAAAACAGTTTCAGAGAGATTAAGTAGCTTGCCCAAAGTCAGCTAGTGGGTAGTAGAGACAGGATTTGAATCTAAGTCTTTCTAACTCCAGACACTGCGCTTTTTACTATACTGGTCTGACTTTTATTATTATGTAAATTAGGACATGCTCCATTTCAAATAATATTCTCTAGAGCACAACAGCTATATTTGGAAAAGAGCTGAAATAAAGTTACTATAACCCCTCAACCTAGCACTATAACAGGATTCTATTGTATTTACACTGTAATGAGAAGCACAGCTAAACTGAAAATACCTCAAATGAAAGATAAAATCTAAATAATGTAGAAATGAGCAAATCATTTACCTGCTTTTCTGGTCCTAGTGCAGGTGAATCTGTTTCTAAGCATATTGAAGTTAAAGGCAACTGTTTCACAAGTTTCTGCTTCTTAAAGAAAAGAGAAAGCTAGTAAATTCAAAACATGAGAAACACAGGAAAGGGCATTAAACCTACATGCTAATGCATCTTATTCTGCAACAGCCTAAAATTCATGCTTTAATCTTCAATTAATAAATGCTACCTGAATTCCTACTATGCTCTCATCATTCCACTACCAACGGTTATGTTAAAAAACACTCACTACCAAAAATTATCCATAGTTTTCAGGGAAACAAGGAGTAGTAACCATAGCAAAAATGAGGAATATACAGCAAGAAATCCAAACACATGCTTACTGAAAGATCCAAGGAGGGGACTTTTGTCATTTCTCCACCATCACCACACTCAGTGCTTCTTTCTACCATTCACTTTAAGTCACTCAAGGCTTTATGTTCATACATATAAAGTTGTTATGCACATCTAAATTTTAGATTGGGTGGTAGATGGTTTTATTTTCTTGTTTATGATTTCTGTGTGTGTACTGTAAGAACTGCAATTAACTCAATAAATTTTATGCCAAGAACACAATTCTCTTGCTGCCACTGCACTTAAAATAAAAAAATGGGAAGGGGACAGATATAGTGGAACATTGTTAAAATAATTTATTTAAGATTAATATTTCAAAAGCACAGAATGGGTACTCTTATGCACTGTTGGTAGATAAAGGTTAAACTGGTATAAATTTCTTTGAAGAAAATAAGACAATTTATACCAAAAGTTAAAAAATGTATACCCTTTTACTCAGTGATTCCATTTATTTTTATTTTATTTTATTTTATTTTTTTTAAAGATGACCGGTAAGGGGATCTCAACCCTTGGCTTGGTGTTGTCAACACCAAGCTCAGCTAGTGAGCAACCGGTCATCCCTATATAGGATCCGAACCCGTGGCCTTGGTGTTATCAGCACCGCACTCTCCCGAGTGAGCCACAGGCCGGCCCTCAGTGATTCCATTTATAAGAGGTCACTGGATAAGTGTGCATATATGTTCGTGGATACACAGAAGCATTCACAGAAACACTGTTTATAGCAGTGAAAAACTGGAAACAACCTTTATTTAAGATAATGCTTAAATAAATTATGGTACATCCATACTGTGAAATACTACAGATTCATTATAAAAGATGAGGTAAGATCATATTTATAGACAGAAATACATATCCATGAAACCAAGTCAAAATAAAACAAAAAGAGTAGCATATCCTCTAATTTTATCTGAATCAATGTTAACAATGGTTCTCTCTGAGCAGTAGTATTTGGATTGACTTGAAATTTGTTCTGTTCTTCCTTAAGTGTTTTAATTTTCTACAATGTACATGTGTTATCTTTAAAATTAGAAAAAAAAAATAGCATTTCAGTTTTGGAAAAGAAAAATACCACAGCTAAAGATTACTGCTAATAAGAAATGTCTCCAGAAATGATAAAAGTAGCAAAATTAAAAATATATTTTGGGCTACCAATTATTTTGAGCTAATTGACATTTTTAGGACAGTCTATCCAACAATAGCAAAAAGTAGCAAAATTAAAAATAAATCTTGGGGGCCGGCCCGGTGGCGCACTGCTGTAGTGCGCCGCTTGGGAAGCGTGGCGGCGCTCCCGCTGAGGGTTCGGATCCCACATACAGACCGGTTCCCGCTCACTGGCTGAGCGAGGCGCGGGTGCGACGCCAAGGGTTGCGATCCCGTTGCCGGTCCCGGTCCGGTACGGGGGCGACACTGAGGGTTGCGATCCGTTGCCGGACACGGAAAAAGACAAAAAGGAAAAAAAAATTAAAAAAAATAAATCTTGGGCTACCGACTATTTTGAACTAGTTGACATTTATACAACAGTCTATCCAACGATAGCAAAACACTATCTTGGTTTCATTCACCAAGATAGATCATATTCTGGGCCATTAAACACTCAACTAATTTAAAAGAATTAAAATCATACAATGTATGAGAGTACTTTACAAAGTTCATGGAAGGATCTGTATTATCTTTCAATTCATTTTTCCATGAACTTTTTGAAGTACCCTCATATGCACAATGGAATTAAAGTAGAAATCAGTAACAGAAAGATATCAGGAAAATTCTAAGTATCTGGAAATTAACCAGCACAGTTTTAAATAATCCATATGGTCAAAGAAGATGTCATAAGGTAAATTAGAAAATATTTTGAACTGAAAATTGAAAACAGAGCATATCAAAATTTTTTATAATTTTAAAGATAATATTTGTACATTAAGAATATAGCTAAAGCAGTGGTTAGAGGAATATCTACAGCACTAAATGGTTATATTAGAAAACAAGAAAGGTTTTGAATAAATAATCTAAAATTTCACCCTGAGAAACTATAAAAAGGACAACATGTCACAATCAAGTAGAATTTATTCCAGGAATGCAAGGTTGGTTCAACATGAGAAAATCAATTCATGTAATTCATAATAATAGCAGGCCAAAAAAAGAAAAAACATACGATTCTCTCAGTAGATGCAGAAAAAGCATTTGACAAAATCTAACATTGATTTTTGATTTTAAAAAAACTCTCAACAAACTAGAAATAGTAGGAATTTCCTTAATCTAATAAAGGGTATCTACTGCTAATATTATACATAATGGTAAAATAATAAATGCTTTCTACCTCAGATGAGAAAAAAAGCAAGAATGTCTGCTTTTACCACTTCTGCTCAACATTGTACTGGTGACTGTACCCAGTGCAATAAGGCAAGAAAAAGAAATAAAGAGCACACATACTGGAAAGTAAAAGTAAAAGACGATATAATTGTGCATGTAAAAAATCCTGAAGAACCGATAAAACCCTACTAGAACTAAGAAATGAGTCAGTTGATACAAATTCAATATAGAAAAATCAATTATATTTCTATGTAATAGCAATGAATAATTGGTAACTGGAATTTAAAAAACATGAAATAGGGATAAATCTAATTAAAATATGTGTAAGATTTGTAAGCCAAAAATTTCAAAACACTGATAGGAGAAATAAAAAATCTAAATAAATAGATATACTGTGTTTATCAATTATTCCCAAACTGATCTATAGATTCAATGCAATCCTAATAAAAATCCCAGCCATCCAGCTGTTTTTTTCTGTAGAAATCACCAAGATGATTCTAATATTTATATGGAAAAGCAAAGGACTTAGAATAGACAGAATGATTTTGAAAATAAAAAATGAATTGGAGGACTGTTACTATGTGATTTCAAAATTTACTATAAATTTACTATCATGACAGTGTGATATTGGCGTAAGGACAGACTACAGACCAACGGAACACAATTTAAAAAGCCAGATATAGACCCACATACTGTATATGGCCAATTTATTTTCAAAAAAAGTATAAAAAATAATTCCAGGGAGAAAGGATAGTCTTTTCCATGAATTATACTGGAACTGATATAGACAAGAAAATTAATCTTGACTCATACCTTACATCATATACAAAATGGATCACAGATCTAAATATAAACTAAAACTTCTAAAAGAAAACATAGGAGAAAATCTTTGTGACTGTGGGTTAGACAGATTTCTTAGATATGACACCAAAAGCACAAACCTTAAAAATATTAATAAATTGAAGTACATCAAAATAAAAAAACCCTACTTTTTGAAAGACACTGTTAAGAAAAATGAAAGACTGGGAGAAGATATTTGCCAACTCAATAATAAGAAAACCTAATTTTATTTTATTTTATTTATTTTTTAAAGATGACCGGTAAGGGGATCTCAACCCTTGACTTGCTGTTGTCAGCACCACGCTCACCCAGTGAGCTAACTGGCCATCCCAATATGGGATCCAAACCCGTGGCCTTGGTGTTATCAGCACCACACTCTCCCGAGTGAGCCACGGGCCGGCCCAAGGAAACCTAATTTTAAAAAGGAAAAAGATTTTAATGGAATTTCACCAAAGAAGAGATATGGATGTACAGATGGTAAATAAGCACAAGGAAAGATGTTTAACATCATTAGTCATTGGGGAAATGCAAATGAAAATCTCAATGAGCAATGACTATACATGTATTGGAAAAGCTAAAAAATAAAAAAATTTTTTAAAAAATGACAACCTCTAACCTAGCAAGGGTGCCTAAACAACACTTTGACACGTTGCTGGTCAGGATTCACAATGGTACAGCCACTTCGGATATCAGTGTGACAGTTATCTATTAAGATAAACAAACACTGACCTTACAGCTCAGCACTACACCTCCTAGGTATTCACACAAGAGAAATGAAAACATATGTCCAAACAAAGACCTGTATGTGAATGTTTACAGCAGCTCTATTCATACAAGCCCTCAACCGGAAACAACCCAACTGCTGACCAAACTGGTAAGTGGATAAGCTGTGATATACCCAGGTGCCTATTACTCAGCAATCAAAATTAATGGACTACTTATCCATGCAACAACATGGATAAATCTAAAAGCATTAAGTAAAAGAAAACAGACCCCAAAGCACTCATAAATTATTTTATTTATATGACATATAGAAAAGGCAAAACTATAGGGACAGAAATCAGATCAGTGGTTGCCGGAGACTGGGAGTGGAGGGAGGGGATTGACCAGAAAGATGCATGAGGCAACTTTTTGGGATGATGGAAATTTTCTGTAACTTGAATGTGGTGGTAGTTACATGGCAGTATACATTTGTCAAAACTCATAGAATTGCATACCAAAAAAGGGTGAATCACCTGACTAAAACCTGACTTTAAAAACCACAATTCAAAAAACAACAAAACAGATAAATTATTGCTGATAAAGATACTATACTCTTCTTACATACATTAGTTTTTGAATACTGATAGACAACTGTATTTCATAGAATTTAAGGTGCCATTGGTTGTAATGTGCATCACAATTTCACAGATACCAAAATATAAAAAAACGGGTATGTTAAAATTGACTAAATATGGTAAATTATCCAAGATTAGTTTTACAAAATTTTTTGAGCTCTAATTCACATAATATTTACCGTTTAAAAGTATACAATTTAGGGCCGAGCCCGTGGCGTACTCGGGAGAGTGCGGCGCTGGGAGTGCAGCAGCGCTCCCGCTGCGGGTTCGGATCCTATATGGGGATGGCCGGTCACCGCTCACTGGCTGAGCGCGGTGCGGCCGGTCTCAAAAAAAGACAAAAAAAAAAAAAAAAAAAAAGTATACAATTCAGTGGTTTATACTATATTCACAAGGTTGTACAATTATCACCACAATCTAATCCTAGAACATTTTCATCATCCCCAAAAGAAATTCCATACGCATTTGCAGTTACTCCCTATTCTACTTTCCTCTGCTCCCTGGAAACCACTCATCTACTTTCTGTCTCAATGGATTTGCCTAGTCTGGACATTTAAAAAAAAAAAAAAAAAAAAAAAAAAAAAAAAAAAAAAAAAAAAAAAAGTATACAATTCAGTGGTTTATACTATATTCACAAGGTTGTACAATTATCACCACAATCTAATCCTAGAACATTTTCATCATCCCCAAAAGAAATTCCATACGCATTTGCAGTTACTCCCTATTCTACTTTCCTCTGCTCCCTGGAAACCACTCATCTACTTTCTGTCTCAATGGATTTGCCTAGTCTGGACATTTCATATAAATGGAATCGTAAAATATTTGGTCTTTTGTGTCTGGCTGATTTCTCTTAGCATAACGTTTTCAGGGTTCATCCACGCTGTAGCATAACTCGGTGCTTCATTCCTTTTATGACTGATTAATATTCTGCTGCATGGGTATGACACGTTTTGCTTACCCATTCATCAGCTGATGGACATTTACATTGTTTCTACTTTTTGGCTATTATGAATAATGCTGCTATAAACATTCATGTACAAGTTTTTGTGTGGATATGTGTTTTCATTTCTTTTGGGTATCTAGAGGTGGAATTGCTGAGCCATATGGTAATTCTAAGTTTAATTTTTTGAGGAACTGCCAAACTGAGTGGGTGTGAAGTGGTCTCTCATTGTGCCTTTGATTTGCATCTCCATAATGGCTAATGATGTTGGCATCTTTTTATGTGCTTATTGGCCATTTGTATGTTTTATTTAAAGAAATATCTATTTAAATCCTTTGCCCATTTTTTAGTCAGGTCATTTCTCTTTTTTATGTTGAGTTGTAATGGTGCTTTATATATTCTGGATACTAGAACCTTATCAGATATATGATTTGCAAATACTTTTTCTCTTTCTGTGGTCATCTTCTCACTTTCTTGATAGTGTGCTTTAAAGTATAAAAGTTTTAAATTTTACTGTGAAAATTTTAAATTTTGATGATGTCCAATTTACCTATTTTTTCTTTGATTGCTTGTACTTTCAGTGTCATATCTAAGAAACCATTGCCTAATCCATGGTCACAAGATTTAGACCTGTTTTCTTCCAAGAGTTTTATAATTTTAACTCATACATTTAGGTCTTTGACCCATTTTTGAGTTAATTTTTATATATGTGTGAGGTATAGACTCAAGATTAATTTGTAATGTAACTAAAATAGAATCAAAAGTATGTAATAAAAGCTCATATTTTAAATTGTATTTCACAAAGTGTTAGATGAGTTTTAAGGAATTACCTGTCCACTTCTTATGACAGAAGGGGGAACTGAGAAGAAGTACCCAGCTCTTACTCCTTCCATGGCTACAGATGGCCGACCGTCAAATGCATGTAGCAGTACCTTGTCAGCACCTCTCAAAAATTAAAGATAAAGCAGAGTTCCATTTTATTTCCTTAACAAGATGCTTTCCCATTAGTCAAACTGAACAACAGAGATCTGAAATTTTAAGTAAATAAAGATGAGGTCCTGTGACTTCTAAAGGGTGGATAAACATAGTATTCAAAAAGAGGAATAAAAATACAGTAAATCATTAGTCTTCAGAATGAAATTATTAAATAAAATTGAAATACTTTTACTTTAAAACAATTATTTAAACTTCCTGCACCATTAGACCTTTCCTAGAAGTCTACAAGCTGTCAAATTATTATTCCTAATACGAGGTTTTTAGGTAGTCAAATTCCTTAAAAAAAAATGCTAGTGGAAGAAGAAATAGAGAGCTAAATAACCCACAAATCTAATAGCTAAAATTGGTGTCACAAAACCACCTCCAGTTCTTAAAGGACAGCTGCTCTGCCTGCATACAAATCATGCTTTCAGTGATTCCAGAAGGGTTCAGTATTCATCACTGAAAAAAATACAATGCTTTCTAGTTGCAGGCAGTTACATTTACTTCACTATTTGACAGTGTGTTTTCAAATAGTTAGGTACAACCATTAATAGGTTATAACCATAAGTTAGCTATGAAATCAATTTAGTAGGTTATGACTAACCAATGTGTGATTATATGTGCATATGTGTGTATGCTTACACTTATACATACCAATACACACATACACATATATGTACTGCTTGTTAAACTTTTCTCAGTTTTCTTTATGTGTATATAAGTCTCAACATAAAGTCTATCTCCTACTGTGAATGGCACTTTTAAACGTTTTTAAAAAAATGCTGTAAGATATATTTTTACTTTAGGAACAACTGGTGAAGACGACAATGCCTTTTATGAGTGATGGCCACAGTACCGTCACTCATAAAATGTATAGTACCATTTTCTGAAGCAGCAGCCAGAAAACTTGCAAAACAGTGAGCCAACATGACTGCCTTTCTTTGCCTTGACCTTTCCTCTTCTTTATTAATCAGCTGACTAAGCTGATTAAGAAATTGGAGCTGCTAACTTTTAAATTAAGGAATATAAATTATTTGATTCAATTTTTCACTTGCTCTATCCTGGCCTGATATATCATAGTTGCACTGAAAACCTTGTCAACAATAGCCAGGCTTGCAAAATCACCTAAGTTGATTTCCACCTCCACCCTTGCCCCATTTCCTTCCCTTCAAGAAATCAAATTAAAACATGGCTTGCTCTGTGAGAACATGGACTGAAACTGCCAAACTTAAACATCAGGCACATTTCTCTCAGGAACCTGAATTGAATACCTTGCTCAAGTAAGAGGCTGATCGTAGGTCTTCCAGCTGAGCGTGAGTGAACATTTCTGTTTAACAACAACAAAATTCTTTTTAGTACTTAAGTCTGAAAGTATTATTTTTGTTCTATTAAAGTAATTGAGAGAAAAAGAAATATAGGGCTCCATTTTGGGAAGACTCTGATCATTATTTAATTTTCTCTATAGGTAGCAACATAGAAGGATGATTAATTAACCTACAAAGGCAAATTTAGTCTTTTGGCTAATTGGGCCTGTCTGATTAGGACTTGTCTTTGCTCTTCCTTCTGTTCATCAGTGCCAGCAAATCTGGGGGAGAAATCTAGTCCAACCTATAACATAAAAATAAAAGAGAATTACATGATTATCGTTTAATGAACCTCAAAAGAGATACTATGAATCAGAGCCATCCCATAGAAATACAATGTGAATCACATACATAACTACATTTTTAGCAGCCACATTAAAAATAACAAAAAAACAAGTGAAATTAATTTTAATAACATACTTTATTTAACCTAATATATCTAAAATATTATTTCAACATGTAATTAATATAAAAAGTTGAGTTATTTTATTTATTTATTTTTTCAAACTCTGAAATCCACTGTGCATTTTACACTTACAGCACATCTCAGTTTGGAGCAGTCACATTTCAAGTGCCTAACAGCCACGTGTGGCTACCGCATTAGACAGCACAGATTATGCATGACTGCTTCCCTTGATATTATTTTGGCATACATTCTATAATGTATATTCTGAATTTAAGTGTTATTCTTACCTTTTACCTTTAATTAGAAATGGAACTTATTACCAAGTGATAAAAATACTTCACAATTATAAATTATTTAAATAAAAATATTGTTTAATTATAAACTCTAGCCTATTTATTTTATTTATTTATTTTTTAAAGATGACCAGTAGGGGATCTTAACCTTTGACTTGGTGTTGTCAGCACCACGCTCTCCCAAGTTAGCTAATCGGCCATCCCTATTTAGGGATCTGAACCCACGGCCTTGGTGTTATCAGCACCATACTCTCCCAAGTGAGCCATGGCCCAGCCCCTGACTCTACCCTATTTAAAGTAAGCTTCTAAATTACTTATGAAGAATTATATATACTGTTTTAACTCATCAGAGCAAAGACCATATTTAAGCACAAGAAAAAAAAGCAAAGTATTTGGAAATGCTATCACACAGTTTTCTCTCATTAAGATAAGCCTATGGTAAGGCTTTCTGTTGTCTCACCCCCAAGCTCTGTTGCTTATTAAGGTTATTAGTCAGCTGAATGGGTGAACATAATTATCCAAGTCAGTTATAATTACCAGTACTGAACTAAGAATTATTTTCATATATCGTATGGAAGTCTGGATTAGAAGCTAGTGAGTGTTTACCTCTCCAATTGCCAACAACCGGTCTTTATAATTCTCGATAATGGGCAAAGCTACATCCAAATCCTAAGAGAAAAAAAGTAAAATTGTTAAAATGGAAGAAGAAGAGAACTGAAATTTCACGAGCACCTGTTACATGACAGGCACTATGCTATGCTGGTGCTTTACATACATTTAGTCCATTTAACCAAAGAAATAAGAAAATGACTTTTTATGAAGATTCCCACTTAAACACTCTTTCTGTTTAGGAGACATTTCCTGGCATTTAGGAGGACTAATTTGGATTTCCTGGAATAGCTGAGAAAGAGAGAACTGAGCCACCAGGTGGTCATCTTTCCATGTGAATTTATAGGATTGCATTATGTTATGATTCTCTTCTTAGGGTACTACTGGTTTGTGAGTTTATAATAGTGATAATTCCATACTTTCTCTGCATTGTTTTCATTGATTTCTTTTCTTTTTGTAGTCCTGCTCAGCCTATTTGTCCTAAAGGTTCAACAATATAAACAATGACTATCATATATGCTTGTTTGTTACTTATTGAAGTAGCTGTGTACCATTAGTTTCAATATTGTCTTTTCCACTTAGGAGAATTTAACCTGTGAGGGTTCCCTTCTAAGGCAGAGGAAAGATAAATATATGGAAAAAATTGCTTCTAGATATCTTTTAAACCACTTTGCAGATTTTAGTTTCAAAACATATAAAATACAAATTACCACTGAGGATAATCAGAACAGGAGAGAATTAAGAAAAGGGAGGTAAAGCAGATGATAGAGGAATAGAAATAGCTTTTACAATTATGCTTCAAGAGAGAAAAAAAAAAGATGAGTGAGAGTAAATCAAGGCCTTAGAAATATATTCTAGTGGACTTGATAAAGAAGAATTAACATTGCCATGAGGAACTAAGAGTAAGTAACCCTAGATATCAGAGAAGCTATCTGAGTAGGTTAAATGGTGTCAGGCAAAGCTTTTTCCACATCAAACATCCAAACTACTCTATGTCTCTCGGACCTCAGAGGGACTACAGAAGTAGAAGAAATCACTAGGAAATGTTTCACATTTAGAAAGTCTGAGTCAGAAAGAAATTGCACATTTGTATAAAGATCAGAGGTAGGAAAAAGCATGTCTCCTAGGATATGTACTACCTATGGAAAAGAAAAAGCAAATTTACAGTGAGATCATTAAAACTCCTAATGAAATAGATTTGGAAGCTTTTAGCAAGTCAAGGAGGATAAATAGAAATTAATAGTAGAATACAATTCATATTACTTATTTAAGACATGCAAATACATTCTTTAACATTTTATTTTAGTAGATGTAAAAATATAAGGATACTCATAGGTCTGCTTTTGACCTCAATTCTATTCATACTTCTCACATAAAGTCTCAAGTTTCTTAACAGCTAATGGCTCTATTATTATTTTGTTGTTGTTGTTATTATTTTTTAAGATCTCTATACCCCTATACTTTATGATTGGGGGCAATACTGGTATGTGATTATTCATGATTTGCAAATGAGGAAATTGAGACTTGGCAAAGTTAAGTAACATGCCACAGATCACAGAAGCCAGTAGGCTAGGTCTCTCTGACTTCAAAACCCATGCTATTTCCACCATGCTGCTGCAAGAAGAAAGGAGCAAGGGAGAAAATAAGAGAAGAAAGGAAGGAGGGCAGCAGGAAGGGAGGGAGGAGAGAAGATTTATTCTGAATTGTTTAAAATAATTTCAATAAAAATTTTTTTTAAGAAAATGTTTATTCTTCAGAACCTTTAGTACAGGGATCAGGTATTTAACAGAAATAAGTGAAGTGGGACAAGTAGGGACAGCAGCCCACTGGAAAGCACACGCCCTGCCTGCAGGGGGCAGCAGATGCTGCTGTGAACTGTGATTCACCACAGTATCCCTAGTGCTGAAACTGTGCCTGGTAATAATAATTTTTTTTTTTTTTTTTTTGTCTTTTGTCTTTTTCCGTGTCCGGCAACGGATCGCAACCCTCAGTGTTGCCCCCGTACCGGACCGGGGACCGGCAACGGGATCGCAACCCTCGGTGCTGCTCCCGCGCCTCGCTCAGCCAGTGAGCGGGAACCAGTCTGTACGTGGGATCCGAACCCTCGGGCAGGAGCGCCGCTGCGCTTCCCAAGCGGCGCACTATCCAGTGCACCACCGGGCCGGCCCGGTAATAATAATTTTTAAATGAATGAGTTAATTATCATTAATGATTTGTGTGATGCTAGACAATTCATTCTATAAACGAATTTAAATTAATGAATATTTACTACATACCTAGCTTTGTACCACATATTTTAGAAGGTTCTAAAGATGCAACAAGGTATATACTTCCTGCTTTAAAGGAGCTTACAATCTAATAAGTATGGGAAAACTAAACTGTGGCATGGAGTATAAGTGCAATTGGAATAAAATAGGGCTAACTCTGCTTATCTCTGGTCTATTCCAGAGGGCTATCCCGAAATTTGATGGGTTCACATCTGCTTTGCAAATCAAGAACGACCTACATATTGCTGGTATATTAATTACTTTTGTAAGTTGAACAGGCTTATCAGCTATACATTCATGCCAAATATATGCCAGATCCACCCACTTCTCTTTACTTCCACTGTTACCACTCTGGTCCAATCCACCATTGTTTCTCACAAGGACTATGGCAATAGCCTTCTAACTATTCTCCCTTCTTGCATTTTTGCTCTCTTCAAAATCATTCTTCATACCATAGCCAAGGGGATCATTTTAAAACATAAATCGCAACTTGTCACCCCTCACTTCAAATCCTCCATTGCATGTAAACTAAAATCCAACAGGGCCCTGCATGAGATCTCTGCCCAATCCCTCTGCCCCACCTGTATCCCTTCCCCCTCCCTCTAGCCACATCAGCCTTCTTTCTATTTCTTGACCACACCAAACTTGCACCTGTTTCGGGCTTTTGTACTTTGTTGTTTCCTTTGTCTACAGCACTCTGACCCTCTCTTTGCATGGTCAGTTACTTTGTAGCATTCAGGTTGCAGCTCAAATATCACTGTCTCAGAGAGGCCTTCCCTGATGACACAATCTAAAAACCAGCATCCACAGTCCCTATCACATAATCTTGTTTTGTTCTCTTCAAAGCATTAGTGCTATCTAAAGTTTTCCTGGTCATGTAATCATTGATCGTCTGCCTTGCCCCATCTAGAATCTAGCTTCCATGAGAGGGATCTCACTCACTGTTAGGTTTACAACAGTGAGAGCAATGCCTGGCATGCAGGAGGTACTCAGTAAACACTGACTGACTAAATGAATGTCTATTGGTATAAATCTTTACATAAATGAAAGAAGTGCTGCTCTGCTATGATTCCCAGTATTTTGGGAATTGTGACTCTCTGAAAGTTGAGCTAATTTTATCATACTCAATAACTCAGGAGAGCTACGGGATAAGCATTTTTCACTGAAGTGAATTAAAAGTGACTTTGTTTTGAAATAAGTATAGCTACCCAGGGTATCTTAATCTAGGAATAGAAATCCATTATTGTAAAAAACAATGGCCCCATATCTTAATTTATTCATAGGTAACAAAAGTCACTACTTCTTTGAAATGGGGTTATCGGCCTTATTATGTAATAAAGTACTTAAGAAACTGCATATGCTCCTGATGCTAAGTTGGGAGACATGTATGAAATGTGAGAAATATTGACTATTATGAGTCAGTGGGAACTTGTGGGTAGGATATTTTTAGAGAGGGTACAAAATCAATACAATTTAATAGATCAAAAGCACTCTTGTAGGGATGATTCCATGTTCAAAGAAGATCCTATTTACTTGAACTCGTTTGTTCCCTTACAGTATGGCACCTATGAATTTGTATCTTTTTTCTTCTGGATATTCTATCACTTTTTTCTGAAAGCAATATGACTACAGGACAAAAAATGCAATAAAAGTCACCATAATTCCACCAGATCATCACAGTTACTATCACTTCTGTGTTTTTCTCTCCAGTCTTTTTCTTATAGAATATATTTTTACCTGGATATCTCTCATAGTGAATAAACTATTTGGCATTCTTCTTTTCTCCCTATATTATATTGTAAACATCTTCCACATGCTACATAAACCTCATAACCCTCATTTTCTATAAATGCAATATATATAACACTCTGTAAGTTATCTACTGATTCCTTTATTTCTGAACCTCTAGGCTATTTCCACTTTTTTTCTATTACAAATAAAGTTGCAACAAATATCTTTGTGAAAAAAAGTGATGTTTCTTTCTTTTTGATTATTTCCTTAGAATATAAATTTGAAAGAGGAGGATTAGAGTCAAAAGGTATTATCATTTTTTACAGTTCTTGTTTTATATGTCTGTTACCTTTAATGTGACACTTCTTTGGTCTTCTGGTAAAAGTCCTTGAACTGGGTGAACACCCAAGCATGGGAAGACAGTCCCATTATACCTAAAAATGTAGAACAAATTAAGAAAGCAGAAATAGTAGACTAGTAGACTACAATGTTACTCTGCGGAACAAGTAGAAAAGAATCTCTTTTTAGGGTTATGTTAATGTGCTTTTTTCCTCCCCATTTTATTTAAAAATGGATCTCTGATATTATAAATCCGACATCATAACCATGTCTAACAGTTATTAGCAATTCTTCAAACTCTTAATTAGAAGCAGCACCTTTCTGAAAGTTGCATAATCTTTTCAAATTCTCCTGAATGTTCAGCAACTGCCACAAGGGCTATAACATTGGCCTGAAACAAAAATGAATACAATAGTTAGAATTGGAACCAATACACACATTTAATAAAAATTAAATAAAAATTTTAAGTTTTCTGGGTGTTTCAGTTATCCTTTTTCACCCACTCTCCATCAGTATAATCATAATGGCTACCACTGAGTACTTACCATGTTTCAGGCCCTGTGTTCAGTGATAACAAATATTATCTTATTTAGTCTACGCAAACCAATAAGGTAGGTATTGCTGTAATCCACTGTACAGACTACGTGATAATTTTAGATGGAGTCAAATATCTCTCCCAAGGTCATTAGGCCATGCTCCTAATTAAGCTGCCACAGTGAAGGTTGGCTGTATGGAAAAATGTACTGGCAACCATTTTTAGCTCTATTACTTTCTGGGAAGGCCACAAAATGCTAACTACAATGAATTTCATAAACCATTCCACAAATAATTTTTTTCAAACAAATCAAATGTTTCAGAAAACTTTTGTAATATATCCCAAATCTCCAGAATAATGTGAATTTAAGAACTGACGGAACAATCTATTCCATAGTGCTGGGAAGCATGGTGACTGTGGGAAGATGTTGTGAATTCAGACTAACTTGTCTCTCATCACTGTACTAGCATGTTTTTGGACTACTTATTAATCTCTAGGCCTTAGTCTCCTCATCTATGAAATGCAGAATGGTTGGCTATAAAATAGTAACTTCCTCAGAAGGTTGTTGTGAAATATTAAATGAGATAAAGTTCAGAAAGGGCTTAGCTCAGTTCCTGGCACAAAGTAAACACTTAATAAATGCTACTTATTATTAACTACTGAAACAACATCAACACAGTATACATAAATTTCAAGCTGTTTTACCTTGAAATCAGTAGGAAAAACAAAAAACAAAATAAATGGCAATTACAGATACAGACTTACCTTCTTAGCTTTCTCCAACACATCATCCAGATCCTAAAATAAGAATATGTAATCACAATTATTTCAGATGAATATGTAAATGCTCTTTGGCTGTGGCACCATAAAGAATGACAATGATAGCAAGGAACAGGGTGTGGAAGAGCCTCCACTGCTCCACCTCCTGTTTACTTTTAACTCTCAGTAAAGTCTGGCTTCTGCTCCCACTCCACTAAAACGGAAACTTCTATTGTCAAATATAAAGGAAACTTCTCTGTTCTCCTCTTACTCTATCCCTCAGAAGCATTTGGAACTTATCACTTGGTTACTATTTACTTCTTGAAGTAAGGCTTCTCCTTACTTACTTAGCTTCTGCAACACCACTCTCACTGGCGGCTACTGTTCAGTCTCCTTGACTGGCTCTCCTTCCTGACTTCAGGACCCCCAGCTCCTATCTCTGCATTTGCCTTAAATGATCTCATCTGTCCCCACAGTTTTAAAAATCATTATGTTGAGTCTCCAATTTTTATCTCTAGCTTATAAATACGTCCTAAATCCATGATTGACGTTTAAAAATGACTATACAACATCAACACTTGGATGGGATTAGGCTTCCCAACATGTTCCAAACACAAACCTTTATTTTCTACACACAAACCTATTCTTTCTGCCTATCTCCCTACCCCAAACCTTGGTCTTCCCTCATTTCAGTAAATAGTACCACCATCTTCCCTACAGTAGATGCTAAAAATCTGAGCCATCCCGGATTCCGCCCTTTCTTTTGCTCTCCATGCCCAATTCCTCAGCAGGTACCATGGATTCTACATCTAAAATGTATCTTGAGTCTGTCCATCTACTTCTGTCAAATTCCTCTGCTGTCATCATAGTACCAACTACCAACTTCTCTTATCTATATGCTGCAAAAGCCTCCTAACTGGTCTAGCTTCCACTCCTCTCCTCCTCCCACCTGCCACACAGCAGCAAAATGGTCTTAAAACGGATATCAGATCTTGTCACTCTCCCTTTTAAAGGACTCATATTGTTCTTCTAATGCAATTCAAACTTCTTACTGCCCTACCTCACCTGTCCCCTGCAAACCTCTGCAGTCTCCTTTCATGCCTCTCTTTTCCAGCTCCTAAAAATCCATCCAGCTTTTTGGTAACAGGAATGCGCCAACAGATCCCCTGTGTGGGGATCTGCAACCTGCCTGCTTTCTTCACCACCATACACTCACCCCCTTGTTTCTCTGGCTCCTTGTTTTCCCAGCGTTAAGTGTCACCTCCTGAGAGGTTTTCCCCGAGACAGACAGACCCCCGCCCTTCTTTCTGTATTATCAGTCTCTAGTTTCCAATGTAGCGGGTAAAACACTCTGTAACTCTGATTTTGTGTGTGCTTTGTTCTCTCCCTCATTAGACCTGGAGCACGTGGTTTCCGGACCCCTTCCTGGGGAAAGTGGCATCTCAACCAAGAGCTGAGAGGTGGGTGGAATGAACAGCGGGGCCAAGAAGAGTTAGGCGAAATGACTCCAGGAACCGGGAACAACAAACATAAGCCTTGTGGAGCTAGAGAACTTACTGCGATCTAGGATCAGAAAGAAAAATCGGTACGACTGAGGTTATCTACGGAATCGGGCAGTTCAAGCAGGGACACAGACACGGGCCTGGGGAGGACTCAGGACTTCATTCTAGGGTAGGAGAGCAAAGATAATCTAGTGGGAAAGAACGGAGACCTCCCCGCTCCCCCGGGCCCTGCTTTGTCCTCACATACGCGGTCAAAGTCCGGGGCGGAGAGATGGCAGTGACAGTCCACCATCCCTACGCCCACCGATCCCATCGCCGCCGTCACCGCAGCCCTAGAAGCACTAGCAGAGCCGGAGCCGGAGCCGGAACTCTGCCGCTGCGCTGGCCTCAGTTTCCGGCCGGACGGGTGCTCGTTGCACCAGTGCGAACCCGCTTTTCCGCTCCCAGAGTCCCTGCCCACAGTTCAAACTGGAAAAATGGCGGGGGCTCCTGAGTCGGTGGCCTCCGCCCCTCAGCCGGACGAGAAGGTAGTGTCCGGGACAGACAACCAGGCCTTGGTCCCCGCCACCTCCCGAGAGGACTTTCGGGTGCGCTGCACCTCGAAGCGAGCCGTGACGGAAACGCTAGAACTGTGCGGCCGCTTAATGCAAAAGCTCGGGGACGCGCTGCCGGAGGAGATTCGGGAGCCCGCGCTGCGAGATGCGCAGTGGGTACGGGCCCAGTTAGCCACCTCTTTACTTATCTCCCCCGTACCCCACACCCCAGGTGTCAGGGCTCAGGAAGACCCTACGCCAGTCCTCGGCGGAGTTAACCTGCCCCAGGCTGCTGCAGAAGCAGCCTCAGAAACGCGAGGGGAGTATTAAGTAGATGCTGATGTCAGCTGGGTATTATTCATTACTTAGACCAGCGCTGTCCAGTTGCGATACGAGGCAAGCTGTATTTTAAATTAAAAGTAAGAAGAAACAGGTGGAAACAAGATACTTAATCCAGTATATCCAAGATATTTTAACATGTAATATACAAATGAATGAGATATTTTGCATTCTTTTGTTCGTACTAACCTTTTCAAGTCTGTTGTCTTTTATTTACAGCACATCTCCTTTCGGACTAGCCGTATTTTAAGTGCTATATAACTACAAAGTGGCCAGTGGGTCACCTATGGGACAGTGCAGACGTAGGCTCTATGAAGAACTCTCCAGGAAAGTGTAATCCTGGAAGTCAGTCAGTCACCTGGCCAGCTTGTGGTCTTTCCTTTTGTCTGTTTTAGAGTGTCTTATAAATAGAGCAGAAACATTTTCCTTACAAGTCTCAAATAGGTAAAGAAGCCGTTTTGGTTATAAACTTCACTATCTAAGTTCACACATTGGCATTTCCTTTTGTCTGTTTTAGAGTGTCTTATAAATAGAGCAGAAACATTTTCCTTACAAGTCTAAAATAGGTAAAGAAGCCGTTTTGGTTATAAACTTCACTATCTAAGTTCACACATTGGCCCTTATAACACATTCCCCCTTCCTTTCTCAAATATTTTGCAAGGGCCTGAAGATCAAAGTTTTTTGGCGAAGGACATGAGAAATTGAGAGCTTGGTGTCTGTCAGAAGGAAACACTGTCTGTAGGGAAGAAAGCTTAAAAGCTTATAATGCAGCACATTTGTGAGTGTGGATGCCTGTAGTGCAAACAGTAAAAATAAAGGTTAAGTGGAAGAAAGTCTGTATTCCAGTTTTGATACGGTGGCTCTTATGTCTTTCCCTCCTTGCGAGGCAAGAATAAAGACATACCTCGGAGCATTTTCAGTAGTTTTTTGCTAGAGGACTGTTCCTGTATGATAATCTTACAATTTGTCTGATTCTGGGAAGCGCTAAGTTATTTAAATATTTAACTACCTTACAGAAAAAGAGGAACTTGGCTTAATCTATTATATCCTATTTAATGGGATGATAAAAGTAAATTAGAAGACAGAGGCTTGAAGACTTAGGCTACCAAGGGAATTCACTTGTGTTTTATTTTAAATGAGAGACCAGGTAAAAGGCAGAAGCTTTAATTATTTTGATATATGTCTTTATTTAAAACCGCATAATACTTGTATAGTAGCATATATTATAAGAAAAATAGTATAAATAGGTAAAGAAGCCGTTTTGGTTATAAACTTCACTATCTAAGTTCACACATTGGCACTTATAACACATTCCCCCTTCCTTTCTCAAATATTTTGCAAGGGCCTGAAGATCAAAGTTTTTTGGCGAAGGACATGAGAAATTGAGAGCTTGGTGTCTGTCAGAAGGAAACACTGTCTGTAGGGAAGAAAGCTTAAAAGCTTATAATGCAGCACATTTGTGAGTGTGGATGCCTGTGGTGCAAACAGTAAAAATAAAGGTTAAGTGGAAGAAAGTCTGTATTCCAGTTTTGATACGGTGGCTCTTATGTCTTTCCCTCCTTGCGAGGCAAGAATAAAGACATACCTCGGAGCATTTTCAGTAGTTTTTTGCTAGAGGACTGTTCTTGTATGATAATCTTAGAATTTGTCTGATTCTGGGAAGCGCTAAGTTATTCAAATATTTAACTACCTTACAGAAAAAGAGGAACTTGGCTTAATCTATTATATCCTATTTAATGGGATGATAAAAGTAAATTAGAAGACAGAGGCTTGAAGACTTAGGCTACCAAGGGAATTCACTTGTGTTTTATTTTAAATGAGAGACCAGGTAAAAGGCAGAAGCTTTAATTATTTTGATATATGTCTTTATTTAAAACCGCATAATACTTGTATAGTAGCATATATTATAAGAAAAATAGTATTGGTAGGACTGTGCGATGAATATTACAAAGACAATTTGTATTCTCAGATAATTCTATAATCCTTGGAAGTCTGTACATAAAGTAAGGATTTTACTTTGTAAAATCTTTATAAAGTGTACGATATGTACTTTAACTCATAATTGTCAGTCATTTGATTTATGCTTTTTTTTTTTTGTGGCTGGTCAGTAGGGGGATATGAACGCTTGACTTTGGTGTTATGCTTATTTTTAATGATACAAATGATACAAAATACATGCTCATTGTAAAAAGTTCAAACTGTACCATAAAGCAAAAGTTTTTGAATTACCTTTTCTATTCTTCTTCCTTACTGGAGATAACTTACTATTTTGGAGAGTACTTGGTGGGGGCAGTAAACCTACATCCCTTTTAATGACTTTACCTCTCTGTGTTTTTTTTTTACATTGATATTGTCATGGTGATGAATTGTTATTGACCTGCTACTTTTTTTTAACCAAATATATCTGAGACCATTACTTGTCAGTGTTATGTAGAGATATTCTTCATTCTTTTTAAGTGCTGCATGGTATGGATATATTGTTTATTTAACTGTTTTCCTGATTTTGAATTGAGATTTTATTTTTTTCCCTCACTTTTTCATTAGTTCAAACAGTGCTGAAATGAACACTCAGTATATCCTCTTTATGTTTTTATGAGAATAGTCCTTTAGGATACATTGCTAAAAGTGAAATTATTGGGTAATAGGGAATTTACATTTAAAAATTTAATGGTACTGCCAAATTCCTTTATTCCTTTATTTTTTATGTATTATGACATTTCAACCCTATAAAAAATAGATTAGTATAGTGGACACCTGTACTAAATTTTCTATTACCAAATTCAACAATTATCAAAATTTTGTTAAACTTGCTATTTTAAAGCAAATCTTAGAAGTCATGTCATTTCATCCCTACATACTTTAGTGTACATCTACCTTTATAAAGTAGAAATTAATTTTACCTTCTTTTAAGCAGGTGCATTTTCACTCTTGTTGACAATGATACTCATTCAGCAGCATATATACTACTTATATCCCTGAGATTCAACTGAGCCCAAATTTGTTAGCTTTTAATTTTTTTAAATTAAGAAGTACATTTATTTCATGTTTATAAGAATGTTCTAAAATTTTGCATCTAATTTTCTCTTGGGTAGCGTAAGGGCTATGAGAGCTAAAATGTAGATAAGAATCAATTATTGAAATGGAATTTTACTTAGTTGAAAAGAATAAATATACTAATAGATGTTTATAAGAATGTTCTAAAATTTTGCATCTAATTTTCTCTTGGGTAGCGTAAGGGCTATGGGAGCTAAAATGTAGATAAGAATCAATTATTGAAATGGAATTTTACTTAGTTGAAAAGAATAAATATACTAATAGACTAGTCTGCTACTTTTTTTTATACCCTCTGTCACAAATCTGAAATTATTGTGCCAAAATGTTTGATTCAGTATTTAAAATTCATCTTTAGTGACTTGACTACTGTGAATTTATTGCAGATTTTTGAATCAGCTGTGCAAGAGAATGTCAGCATTAATGGGCAAGCATGGCAGGAGGCTTCAGATAATTGTTTTATGGGTATGTGACTTAACTTTTTCCATCTATCATTAATTTTTGAGCTGTTTTTGTAGCCAATTTTATTTTGAATGGTGTTTTTTAATCATCATTTTCAGTGTCACTTCCTTTTAAGAAAATTTTTTACTAGGGGAATAAGAAGAAAGAACTAATGTAGAAGATGGTTGAAGTATAATTCAAGGCAAACACAGTAGGTACCTTGATACTTCATATATGCTATCTGGCATTTCAAACAGGACTTTCATCTGCTTAATCTTCAAAAATAGCTTTGTCAATAGTTTATTGAAAAATATTGTAGAACTATCCCCAGGTGAAGAAACAGGCCCAGAGAATTCCTGTAGTTCTTATAAAGCAAGTTGTATTTTTGCAGGTGATCCTTGGAGTAGATAGTGAAGAACCCTTAGAAGTGTGAAGTTAAACTATACAAGTACCATGTAAAGGATGAGGTCATGTATTTGTAGAAGGCTTTTAAAAGACAATATTTTCTTGGTCCAAAGCAGACTTGATCGTCTAATACCTACCTAATGGTATTGACATATAAAAAAGTAAAAGTTTTAATGGTGAGTGTAGGTGGGAAAATATTTAGTAGAAAGGGAATGGTCTTTGTGGGAAGAAAGGCAGAATTCCCTAGTGTCCATGCAGCAATGTCCAGAAAAGGGCTACCCTGACAAGAGGGCCAGAGTGTCTTGTCCTTCCCCATGGTGATATTATGCAGATCTGACCAGCATAGTTTAATGTCACTGCTTGATCTTCACATTATCCAGTTATACCTTTGAGCTGATTCCAAGCCCACCAAGCAATCCTCTGTGGTTATAATTTTTCTTCTCAACATTAAGATAATACTTTACCCAGAAGACTTCACTATCCAGTCCTTGGGATTATTATATTTGTCTCTTCAGAGTCACCAAAATCCACTTTTAGGTTTACATATTAAAACAGTAAAAACAATAACATCAGA